GGTCTTTTAAAAAGAAAAAAAGTCAATTTTATGACTCAAACTAACACATTTCTTCACTCTGTTCATCTGTTCCAGGTGCCTATCACAAGCACTGACTTGGGCTCCAAACCCAGTGTGGACGTGCTGTTAGTCCTTTGTCCTGTTTTTTATTTTTTTATGTTTTGTTCTATTTATTTACCATATTTCTTTTTGACCATTCATATTTTTTGACCAAAATCATAGAGACAATCTAATGAGTTTTGGATTTTTATTATTTTTTTAATTTTTATGTTTTAAATCTTCCAAAGTTGGCCAGTATGTCAGGTGTGTTGGGTCTCAGAGTGCTGTAACAGTACTTTTCTATTTGAATTACGTCATTTTTAGTTTTATTAAGCGACCTGACGTTAGCACTAGCCAAAGGACCAGTGTTGGGAGACCAACTCCCACGGTTTCATCAATGCTGTTGGGAGTAAATGAAGTGACTTTTTACCTTGCTGTGGTCATCATGTGCTGATGTTTGTCCCGTCTGTGGATCGTGCCATCATGAGGGCAACAAGCAGGCTCTTCTCCATGTGCCACACAGCCTGTGACTTTGAAAAAAAAAACCATTTCTATTGCTGTAGTTTACTTAAAGAAGCAAAAAATAATAATGTAAAATAAAAAAACAAGCTTTTATCTTGGTGCTGGCAGTTCTGGCTTTGATCAAATTTTGTGGAGCTTTTTGATGATCCATGAACATTACCTGGCTCTTGGCTGTCGTCTTCTGCTTATTCATGGGGCGGGGTTTATTTYTATTTTATTTTTATTTTTTAGCCTCATTACCCTTACCTGAAAGTAGTTTGGCTCTGTACGAAGCACTGTTTCTCTGTGCATGCTTACTGAGAGAGTACAACTGTGTACACGCATTTCAGATCTATACTGAATCTAGCTCCCACTTACCGTAATACTCAGAAAGGGCTAAAGCCACGAAAAGCCAATTCTCTTTGTAATTGAACAAAATATCTACTTGTTCATATTCTCTTACTGTACAAAATGTCTCTTCTGCAACTGTATCATATCAGCTCAGCTTCATATTTACAGTCCAAAACTGAACTGCATGTATGTTGCTTGTATGCTTGAATATTTGCCTTTTTATTTTTAATTTTTTTATGCTGTCAAATTTATGTGAAATCAATGTGGAAAATATTAATTATCTCCTTTGTCTCAAAATGATGTGTTCTAGTAGTTATCTCTGTTCACAAAGGGACCTTTTATATTTATTTTTATACTGTATTTTGACTTCCATGTCATTGTTCTAATCTCATTCCATGAGCTTTGCCAATGTCACATCAAACTTAAACGGCAGCGTCACTTCCTGCCTGCAGAAAAGACAAACATTTACACAATACAGCACAAGTGGGTTTGGATGAATGGGTCCCATTTCTGCACAAATGGACCTATTCTGTTTTTACGACTCCAAAAATTTTATTTATTTTATTTATTTTTATTTCTAGTAAGTCAAATGAGAAGCACATGTAATCTTTTTAGTTACCATGATTCGTTCTTTAAATACTCTGTGCTGCTTCAGTTTTTTTTTTTAAACCTAATGTTGCCAAAATGGTGAGTCGGCAAAGTCAGTTTTCTTTATCCAAGTATGAAATGTTTGTGTCGTGGAGGACAAACCCAGATGTTTCATTGAAAGATTATGTGCTGATTGTTGACTGAAAAAGATGTGTGCCATATGTTAATACTGACCAGACGCCTGAAAAGGACAAAAATGTAAAGTTGTGGTTGTAGCAAAGCTGCCATTCTCACTGTTATGACTCCTTTTTTGTGTTCTTTGAAGAGAGCTCCACCTTGTGGACACCAGGATGGTTGGACATGTATGTATTCAAACTGAAGATCTTTGTGGATGTTGTGAATCAGGGATTTGAGCGTTGTCCACATCAAGTTTCAAAATCTATATTCTAGGGCTTGTATGCAATCTATTGATTATGAGTTGTCATTTTGGGATCTGCTGTATCAGAAAATTAGTTTGAGTTGCATTGGTTTCCTTTTGGAGCTCCTGAAAGTATATTAAAGTGCATCAGCATTTCCACTGAATAAAGTGTACAGAGTGAATCATTGAAACATAACATTAACATTTGTTGTAACATTTATTCTGTTTTATCAGACTGAATAAGAAACTCTAAAATGTTCAAACACGAATTCTATGAAAACCTCCTAAATCTAACGTTAAAAAAATGTTTTAATTGTCCAATAATTAATTTTATATTTATGCAAGACCATGTATGATGAATGGCAGTATAAAGTTCGTTGCACTTTTTATAGCATTAAATAAAATGGTGATGTAGAATAAATATTTTTTGTTAATGGAGAGGAAAAGACTTTTGTCCTCGAGTGTGTTGCTCCAGCGTAAACTGATTTCTTTAACCACTTTGACCTTTTACACACAGTTTAAGCGTTTTGTCCTTATCTGTTTCAAACTCAACATGTTTTCATTGATCTGACAGAACAAACTGAATTTCCCTTTTTCTATTTCTGACACATGGTATCCTCAGAAACTTGACTAATAGCTCATAAAAAACATTTCCACATCCACTAAACAATTAAAACCACAAGCATTTGAATCAGAAACTGAACTTGAAAAATGGCATCAGCTTGAATCTCTTTACATTGGAACAAATCTGCAAAAATGTTTTGATCCTCTTTTTATTTTTTTATTGCTTTTTAGAAATGAATGTCAAAGCAAATGCCAAAATATGTTGTAAAGTCTGATTTTGAGAAAATCTGCTCAAGTTAAGTCAATTTTTTTGTTTTATATGAGTAGTGTGGAAAAAAATGAGTGGGTAATCAAAAAAACTAGCATTCAAAAACAAGTCATGTAAGTAAAAATATTTTTTGTAATTAAAAACCTAAGATTTCTTGACAGTGGAACCAAAAAAATCCATCCTGTGCACAATAACAAAACAGATCTCTTCACTAAAACCTCAGAAAATTTGCTCTTGTTTTATTTTAGTAGCATGAATCTCTGCACGGGTAATTGTCAATGTGTGGATTTATTCGTTACACTTTTTTAAAGAGTGATGTGCTGTTTACAAAAAAAAAACAATGGGGCGTAGAATATTTTCTTTTCTGTTCCATCCTATCTCTGAAACATCAGTTACTGTATCTGATTAACCCATTTATTCACATTTTTTCCCTGCAAAATAACTGCATGCATTTCATTCCTTAGAGCTCCCGAACAAATAATATTTATGAAATTTTTCATTTTATGTTGATTGTATTAGTGAAAATGTAGGTTTTGTACTCGGCAACAATTGTTGCCGGTGGGAAACAACATAGTCTAAACAGGCACAAATCTTTTATTCTGACCTTTTTACACACATGAAAAATATAATATATGCATAATATATTATAACAAGGCATGGGTACAAGTTCAACGGTAGGAATCACTGTGATGTAGCACAGTGTTTTTCAAAGTTGGGGCCACAGCCCCCTGGTGGGTCGCCAGGGAGCATTATGGGGTCCTCAGAAAGCTGGAGAGGATGATAAGGGGAAAAAAGACAAAAGCCTAATGAATATTTTTTAATTATAAAATTGAGTCTGTTTTTCAACCATTATAATTTTTAAAAATATATTGAAAAGTTAGGAGAGCAATTTCATTTCATTTGTTCCGTTCTTATTGCTGGTTATTCAGTGGGATTGTAATAGTGTTCAACACATTTTAGTTAATAAAATTTTAATGCTAAGCATATATAATACTTGCAAATGATTAAAAAAAACATTTTAACATTTTACGTATATTGTGACATTATTTGTAGGTTTGCCAACGGGGTCCCCAGCCAAATGCTAATGCTGTTTGAGGGGCTATGGCATTGAAAGGTTTGGGACCCCCTGATGTAACACATCATTTCAGGGTTCTTTCAGGTCTAAAAAATCTAAAACATCTGATGGTTTTAAGCTGAGTGGGAAAAAACTATAAGATAAATAAAACAAACAGCCAAACCTTTGACAGCTTAGCTCTGTCTACGTGTTATGCTAGCACTCACTCTTCACATGATTAAAAGATGCATGCAGGCATAAAATTCTCAATATATCTCAGCAGAAGACTCTTTAAAGAATATATGAACAAAATATTTCAATTATATGTGTTTATTAAGATAGTTACTCTCTCCCCTTTGTACCAGTTGAGACTGTAGATATTTCCCTTGAGCAGGGCAGGCAGGAAGTCAAGGGGTGTAGTTATGTGGCCATTCACACTAACTACATGAAATTGATATAACTAAGAGTGGACAACCTATTATTTTGTTGTAAAACTTAAATTAGCTGCCCAAAGCCAAAATAACACTTTCAGAGCTTCTAGAACAAAATGTCTGGCAGCAATTGTCGCCGGTGGGATTAAACGGGTTAAGTCACACAAGTGTTAGCTTTATTTTGATCCCATTATTAAAGTAGTGGTTGTAAATGCTGAGACGTGCTCAGTTACTTTTTGGAATGTTGTTTCAAACACAAACTTCAAGGAAAGCCCTTGAGGCTGAAGCGTCCAACCCTGGTCCTCTTGAGGCCACTATAATCCTGCATGTTTTGGATAGTTCTCTGCTCAAACACACCTGATTTGTATGATTGGGTGATTAGCAGGACTCTGTAGAACCTGATGACCTGCTGAAAAGAAGAAAAACAACTAAAACATGCAAGATAGTGACCTCAATAAATTGTCCCATACACTGCCACCTATTGGCCAAAAAGTGAGCAACACATTTTCCACCTCTCAAATGCAGTGGAATAAATAACTTACCAGTTCTTCATTAGCAGAAGGTTATTAGAATTAAAAACATTTTAAAGTCAGGTTGCTTGTAAAGTGTTAATATAGTTGATAACGTTACATGTATTGTTTCCATTATGGGCAGAAATTGCAGTTACCAGATTCAAATGATCATTTTTGGTAGCATCAGCCAGTGTTGCCCTATAACATAACAGAGAAGCAAAAGCCCTACAGGGGAACATTACTATAAAATATTGGTGAAGATGAATGGCTGCCAGAATATAGTTAAAGAAAGGAGTAGTGAGGAGGTGCACAGACAGACAGACTAAAAGCTGATGTGACCGGTCAAAGAAAAGAGAAAAATGATGAATCTGACAGATTTAGGATACTCTAGTTTATAAAAATGTGCACATCATAAATATTTCTCCACTGAAAAAACACTCTGCGTCACACTCGTAAATTAGTGGGCTTCAAGTAAAGTTGGGAAAGTATGTGGGTTTTTTTAACAATGTTTGGAGATGTTTTGTTATTTTGCAGTCTGAAAATCTTGGAAAATTTCAAAAGAAAGTTTAAAAGGGATGAGGTAATGGGTGAAGAACAGAAAGATGAAACTGACTGAAACTTTTAAATGAACTGAACGATGTTCACAGGAGTTGAAAGGTTGAAAATTATTTATTAAGGCTTCATAGACAAAACACATAAATAGACATAAGAAACCAATTCAAATTTAAATAGAAGACTCTTGAGTTAAAGTGCAAACATTCAGGGGTTAATGCACAGCAATAATTCAAACTTAGACATACACACCAATGAGAAAATTACTTTATTTCATAATTGGGTCAAAATACCACTAAGTCCCAATGCAGGGTTCACTATCTTCTCWGTGAATTTTGTGTGCAACTATTTCCTTGTATGACCGGCCTACCGTCAGCTGCAATTAGGTCACGCTTTTCTTCCTCCTGACACTATTTTTAATTAATTCTGACACCTCCGAAAGAAAGTACAGAGCTACACCCATCAGCCGAGAACGGATGAGTGGAGCTGGTTCACCAGCATACCTGACATACTGGAGGTTTGCGTGCATGTGGTAACACCACTGCCGTGCCCTCCTGTGGAATATGACAACTGAACTGAACTTAGGCGAGTTACAAATCTCCTCTTACACTAAAATGGCCAATGATGTTGGGATTACGACAGGAYATTTGATAGAAAATACCGGTTAGAGTTTGGATTCACGATGAGGCCTACTAACGTGTGCCTGCTTTCTTGAGGTTTCCAGGTTTTGTTTCCAGGATTTGTTTTATTTTTTTWAAAAAAAGTGCTGCTCGGCACAAAGACACGAAAAGAAGAGCTGTTCGCACCTCATGCTGAAGACTCCACTCAGAAACTCATCCCAAACCCTCTGGCTCTCCTGCTCCGGCCTTGGATGCACATTACTCACATGACCAGAAACAATGACTGAAATTTTAAGGCTCATGAAATTCCCAGGCAAAGTTTCTAGCTGTGTGGATAACACAAACGCCGTGGAACTGAACCGACCCCTGCGAAAAGAAAAAAAAGAGTTAACAACAAAAAAAAAAAACAGTCACATTACTCAGGCACAGGAGTGTGTCCACTTCCCTTTTCCTTTAAAACAAATAGGAGAAACTATGTGGAAGCCCAAACAAATATTTATTCAAGCTCAAACTCGTTACCTATGTGTGTGTGTGTGTGTGTGTGTGTGTGTGTGTGTGTGTGTGTGTGTGTGTGTG